CAAAAAGCCTTTGCACTTTCAACACCAGTCAGAGGAGTTAGCAAAGTTGGCATGACTACTGTTAGACCTGCTATAACTCTTTTTATCTTCTGCTCTTGTAGTACAAGGAATTGTTTGTAAACTGGACTCGAAGACTGGTAGCCCCATGATTTCTTCTCAGTATGCTAACTGCTTTGTCTCATTATCTGTATTTTGTGATGGCAGAGATTTCAATCTCCCCTACTTGTCAGAAAGTTTGGTCATCTGCAGAGAGGGAAACACATGATGCATTCTTCTGTGTGGATTCACTGTCATTTCATGTCAGAAAGCAGTGTGTTTTGAAATATCACCTATTGGTCCTGGGTTCAGGGCAGATTCACACAGCTTTGTGCTACAGATAGCACCTGGGTAAAGCAGCTTTGTTAAACATGGGTTTTTTTCAAATAATTGGTGACTACTACAGCTCTTCTACCAAGTAGGTAAGTGTTAAGCATCAAGGGAGCAAAGCCTGCACTAAAACAACAGCCTGTCCTCTGGCATAAGTGGGTATGAGAGATGGAAGTTCCTTCAAGTGTTGTTATACTTAAAAGACAGAGAAAGCTCTGCCCAACATCTCAGGTACTGGCAATAGCAAGACAGGCAAAACATTTTCCAGATTGTGTCTGACTGAACAATAAGAGGTAGCTTGACACATAACTGGCAGCTTCAGCATCGTGAAAAACAAAGCTACAAAAACATCCCTTTGAGCAACCTCATCAGTATGTCTTCTCCACATTACTAACAAACCCCAGAGCTAGTTCCTGCTATGAACTGGTCAAAGCTTAAGAAATGTTGACATCTCAACAGCTATTCAAGATGTTAGCATGTAAATGATAACACATGGGTCATGACATTTTCTGTTCCTTCTGGTCAGCCTCATATTCCAGTAAGATCATGAGAACTCAAGGACTTAAGAGCCTTTTGACAGTTCACCAGGGTTGTTGAATGCCCATGTTTTTGAGTAGTATGACAGAATTCAGAGACACAGACTTTTTTTTAATTTCATTTAAGAAATAAGAGCAATATTAGGTTGGTGTTTCTCACTTTATCAGAGGGTTTTTAAACCCCATAGAATTAAAGGCAGAGAGGTTGCTGGAGTGCAGCAGGTTTTTTTTCCCTTGTCATTTATTTTAATATAACAAAGCAAAGCACAATTTAAGCTAAAACTGCAAGTAAAAAATATCTCTCCCTTATTTAAGCCTTCCTTCTCGGTACTAGTAACATTATAATCCTGTTTATTCTCCAGTGAGTTTAGTTTGTAGGTTCTTTCAGGGGAAAAGACTTTGCTAAAGTAAAATAAAACACTGAGGGAAAATTCCACCTTTTTATTGCCTAAACAAAGAAGATAAAACCCCAGACTTCTCCCCTTTTTCAAATCCTCTTTGAAATAACCCAATGAATTCAAATGGTTTAATGGTTCAAACTGAGAACAAACACATACCCAGTTACTCTTTTGAGCAAACATGTAAAACATGGAGCTACAGCGATAAGGTAAGGTTACTGAGGCACTTTGTACTTACCAGAGCTTTAGCCTGTATTACTTGATGGACTCCTTACCAGTTTTGACTTTTCATTGACTTTCCTCACCTTTAATTTAAGACTTCATCGACTTTTCTTGTCACCTTAATCCATTTCTAACATTAAATTGTTGCACAGCTAGCTATAATGCTACTCAGTATTGATTATATTTTTTCCTCTCAATAATGTTTTGTTACATGCATTGAAAAATAATCAAAGAAGCTTCCCAGTGCTTTGCTGGTTTTTAGTAGTTAATAATTCCACTGATTTTTTAAAACACCTTTTTTTGGTGTTTCATTGCTCACTTAACCCAGGTCAGTGTTTTGGTGAAGGGAAAGCTGTAGATGAGATGTGGTGCAGTTGCTGTGCAGAATGTATTTGATCCCTGGGGTTTGATGTAAGCGGCAGCTGCTCGAGAGTAAATCCTTACCAGATCCTGGTAGTGGCTTTTCTAGACAACAATATCTTGTTCCTGTGGCAGATGCACAAATGGTGTCTGAGTTGGGTCACCACAAAAGGAGTGGGTGACAAGGAGAATGAAAGCTGTTCTCAGCCCTGGGACTTCCCAAATATATAACCTACCGATAGGGAAACACAACCTCCCTGAGGATTTGAAGTTCATACTTAAGACACTCTGAGCACCCTCCACTAATGACCAGCTACAGATGAGCCCCTCAGGGATGCAGTGATGATAGAGAAGTGAGACGTTTCCATATGTTAAGGTTTGCACAGACAGTGCCTGGAAAGCCAGGACTAATTTATTCCATGTCCTTGCCCTTAAATGGTGGCAATATTTCCTTTCCACGCATGTTTTTCTTTTCATGTACATTTTTACAACAAGGTAGGGTGTCACCTCCACTATACAAACTCAGGCCTGACTAATAGGCATTTCCTTTTTATGGAAGAATTGGATTTACAGAAGCGAAAATATGAAACAAAATACAGTATTCTACAGGCAACTACTGTATGGAATAACACTGTGTTAGCTGAGGCTTAAAATACTCTGGGGAAATTTAAAAGTTGCCTGAAGAATTACACAAGGAAAGATAAAATCTTTTTTTCCAGCCTCAGGATTTAAGCTTGAATTTATTGTTCCGTGACAGGGTGTCTCCTCTCACCATTTAGTGGATCATAAAAAGAAAACTTAACTTCTCTAGTAAAAAAGGTGACTCATGTTTGCAGGCCAGGCTCTTTAGTGATGTGCCTGGCTGGATAGGTCTTCAATGTTTTTTTGGTAGAGAAAATATGGAACATATCCATGATAAATATAAAATGTTTTCTATATTTTTTTTGTAGGAAGACTGTGTTCATTGCTGTCTCTCTCCTTGCCTGTGTTGTCACTATAAAGGCTCATTCCCTTGCTTGAACATTATGCAGGAGATGTAACACAGGGCTCATGGAGGGCAAATGACAAATCTCTTCTCTCATAAGTCTGCAGTCTCACCCAAGGCAAAAAGGTACAGCTTTGTTGTCCTCAAAGTCAGCCTGTTTAAGCGGATACATTATAAAAAAATAAACTGTAGAGTTTAAAGTTATATAAGGTGATGTGTTCCAATACATAATTCCAGTAGCACCTTTAAAAGTATATTTTGGTTTGTTGGTTTTAGTTTGGTTTTTTTTCTCCTTGTGTCTGGTTTGGTATCTTTTTTTTTTTTTTTTTTTTTTTTGGTTAAGGATGTGTCCTCTCTGACTTTCTTCTTTCCCATAATATTAGAGTAACCGCCTAATGCAACCTGGTCTGTACAGGTAAGTGCTGACAAGTAAATGGTTATGTGTCTCTTCCTGGCAGGGCATTAAAACATGCTCAGAGAAAGCTGTGTAATAGCCTCCACCACAGACCTCAGGTATGACCTCACAAAACTCTGATTTTCCTCATCATGTTCCCTCTCCTCTCCATGGTCTGTCCAGCCCTGGTAGAGCAGAGCCTCCTGGGGGCTGAGCCCATCTCTATCCACAAAAATCTGAGCTATGCCTGCTACAAACTCTACGTGCTAGGAGAATACAAATCAATGACATTAAACTACTAATGAAAACTCTTACTGACTCACGTCTTTTATACAATATTGAAGCCTATATGGTTATTAAGCCTCTCTGTCACAGTTAATACCAGCTTTCAGTCATATCTTTGCAATTGAAACTAAGGAGGGGACTAATGGATGACCAGCTATTTTCTGCTAATACACTGTAGAAATGGGTGTGCCCAATCAATTCTCAAGAACACTCACAGTGAGGAAAGTACTCAGAGAAAGTCAAAACTATTCTTTTTAAGAGATTCTGCATTTAATTCTGTAACTGCAGTTTAAAGGGCAGAGGGAGTTGTTAAATTTCATTTCACATTCACACTCTTCTCCTGTCAGCACTCCTGTGGAATTGTTGCTGCTGCTCATGCATATTGAGGGGGAATGTGCCCCTTTGCAGGCAGAGTACAGCTCTGCAGCTCATTCCCAGCCATTTCCTAGGTGTTTGACACCATGATAACATTGCAGCCCACAGGATTTCCCATTTTATGCCCTCATTATTTTTTCTTCCATCCTACAAAGGATCTGCTTTTGCAAAAACTGTCTCTATGGCAGAGAAGAGCTGGATGTGACATCCTCACAAGCTCATCAGCAGATTCTGCTGCTCCTTCAAAGCGCACCACATCCTTCAAAGTGCACCACACCCTTCAAAGCACAGCATGTCCTTCAGAGTTCTGATAACACCTGCCTGTCAGCAAATGAGAAAGCAGGGCAGGAGCCAAAAGTTAAAGATCCAGGTTGCACATTGCTGCTGGGAAGCACACCAGTCCCAAGCATTTTGACATCAGAATTACTGCCTAGACCAGGAGCTATCCCAGAGTGCCTTATGCCTCTGTGGATTAGCAGGTTGTGCCATGATTCATGAATTCCTATTCTTTCTTATTTAGACAGAAGGTACATAAACTGTTCCAGTCAGCTTCAGTCTCCAAGAAGAAAATTAGTACAGAATATAATGACACAGTAGGAAAAAAGAAGTCAGTGCTTCACCAAAGCCTGGATTGTGGTTCTGCCCTTGCAATTCAGGAAGGGTGCCCATAGCCAAGAAGCTCATAGCTGTACCATGCAAGGAGTCATGTGGTGTGTGTCCCAGCAGGACAGCTTTCATTACATGCCATGGCAGTTTCTATGGTGTGTGGTAAGGAGAGACAGCACAGTATGACAGAACATGTGGCAGTGCAGTTTGGAAGGCAAAGCTACAGAGCCCTGCTGTTAGAGTGCAAGCTATGGGGTAAAATGTCTCTGCTGCCACCAGGAATGTTTCACAATACAACCCTTCTAGCTTCTGTTCATTCATTTCTTTTCATCCTTTTTTCAAAAATCAAAAGTCAAACCCTGAGACTGAAGTGAAAAGCAGACATGTCTCTCATCAACATAACACCTGGGATGGAAAATTGTGAATGTTCACCAGGAACCATGTAATAACCCCTCTGTTGTGCTCCCGTTCCAGACACCGTTCCCACCAGGATGCTATCCAAAGCTTCCTTTGCTGCAGTGCACTCTTGCTAGGCACTGATTGTCTGACACAAACTCCGAGCAGAGAGAAGTTGAAGGAGGCAGTTAAGTAATAGGATGTCTTTAATTCCTTTCTTGTTTAAATTGTGTGTACTCAGGTGAGAAAGGATTTTATTTTTCTTAGCTGAAAGAGATTATCAGCAAGCTTGAGAACATGAAAGAGTACCACAAGCTGGAGATAGTTCAGATAATTTTTTTGTGATGAAAGTTCTAAATGACGTTAGTACAAAGTAAGTACATATGGGTGCTTGACATGGACTAATATGTGATGGCTGGAATGGCTGTTTCTCTTTGGTTTTATTAAGTCACTGTTATGAAAAAAGATGGTGCATTATGCAATGTTTTCAACAAACATGGAGCAAAAGGTAGCTTTTTTCTGAGGAGCTTTTATCTAACACACAGGATGAAGAAGAATGAGAAGGGCTATAAGCAGAAAGGATATGTAACGATATGTAAAAATGCTGGCATTGAAATTTGAATAGGCAGGTAATAGAGCATTGATGAAAAAAGCCAAGTGGGGAAAAATAGAAGAGCAAAGAAGAAGGGAACAATAGTCAAAGAGGATGAAAAAAGGAAGGAGAGCACATTTGCTATGGCTGGGGGGAAGGCACTGGGAAAGGTGTGTTGGGGCATACTAGCTTTTCCAATTGAGGAAAAAGTGTTGAGAGCAAAAACAGATATAACCTCTTGACATTGGAAAGAATCATATTGCAGACCTACACAGTCCTTGTTGCTTAGGCCACTATTGGCTGCCATGGGCAGGGATATCTGTTTGCTTTCCTCCAGAGATGATGAATTACTGTTGTGATTTCTCACATTTAGTGGGCAATATAATCCTCGATTTCATATGCAACTCTCGTAATCACATCTCAGACAGGGGAATACAGAAATATGTCTAGGACTTTAGGTAGAGTAAGAGACCATTCCATTGGTGTTAATGACATATTTGTTGTGCCTTAACTGTTCACAGTTCAAATAATTATAAATACTTCTGTCATTATTTGATGGTCATCTCAGCACACTATTGGTACTTAGACTCTTTGTCAGTGCTGAATCAGGAAAGTTTTGCACTTGTTCATTTCATGATTTCTACTCCAAGAAGTCTTTACTTTCTACAGACTTCTTATCCTTGTGGAAAGGGAAAAAGAGAGAGTACTTTTAGGGGATCAGACAAATATATCATTTACAAGCTGCAAAATGACTACTTTAAAATTTAGAGGAAAATGAATATACTTATGTTCATAAAATTTCGGTAGGGTCTACCCAGTAAAGACATGTACTTGTCCATATGAACTGAACTCCATCAAAAAACAGTCAGGCATCGAAAACAGACCACTTACATGACAAACCCTTTTCCATGTCCTAAGAATGATTCAGCAATTTTTCGTCAGCTTTCTTGTAGTTATTTTTCAGACAATCAAAAAGATGAAAAGTTAATAAAAGTAGACAGGTGTAGAAATTGTCTCTTGACTTCTCAGCCTCTGTATATCGCAGTAGCATTTCTGCAGAAATCCTTCTCGGCCAGTTAGACAGTATCCTGAAAACAACCTTGTATCAAGATAATATCCCTGAGGATCTAACTAGACATGAATGAAGAACAAACATACATTTTACATTCATATACATAGAAGGAGTATTAAATATTCATCTCCTTATAGCAACATTCATAACTACAGGTAAATATTTGCTCTAAATTCATCTTCAGTCTACATGTTTAGGTAAAATTCCCATAGGTCTCTAGATTTTGCTAAAGGTATGTGGTTAAATTCTTTTGCTTGAAATACGTCTACTGCTGTTAACAAACCCGGACTTCTCCTCTTCCTCCCCATTCCTGCCCTGATCTTTACTCCTCACATACCCAGATTACATTACTGTGGATGGAAGCTGCTGCCTCAGCCCTCTCTTAAACCTTTTCTACAATTTTCCCCTGCTTTTTGTAATAAAGTATCATTATTTTGAATTAACTCCTTCTTTCCTTGTATCTCTAGATTTCATTGCTCCTTTTTCAGAAATGCAATAAAACACTTTCCCATCCTTTCAATTAATATGCATTATAGTATCATTATTTTGAATTAACTCTTTCTTTCCTTGTATCTCTAGATTTCACTGCTCCTTTTTCCCAAACACTTTCCCATCCTTTCAATTAATTTGCATGATAGCCTCAGCAGTCCTGGTGCTGACTGCTGCATCTTCTTTCTTCCAACTGCTCTTGTGTTGCTTCCATCCAGCTTTTTCACAGCTCTACCACTCAGCATAACATTCATGGTGGACCATATCACTTTTCTGTTCAAATTTTCTCCAAGATCCTCTATTGCTCTTAAAATTCATGTCTTTTTCTCTATCTTGACCCAAATTTCAGATCTGAATCTGTGTCCTATATGGACATTCTTGTCACCCACTTATTATCTTTTATGTCATCCTTGACCATAAAACTGTGCTGCAGAAGTCACTATTATATCCAGGTCTGTGTCCTCATTTTATTTCAAACATTTGGAAGGATAGTTTTTTTCATATGAAGGCTGCACTATTAACTTGTTCTCCCTAACTAATGAAAAGAATACTCAGGTTACCTAACAAGTACAGCTGAGTTGCCTTTGGTAGGAGGTAACTATGCTAAATTATACCAGAAGAGAAACTGGCCAAAATACAAGTTAACTTCTCCATTTAGAATTTCTTACTGTGCTTTGATTTATCTGTGCCTTATCTTCTGGAGTTTCAGCTGTGAAGGGCAATAATTATCTTTATCCTTATACTGAATACCACTGCTGTGGCCTCAGTTCTTTCAAGCTGGTAAATAATGAGATACTCATGAAATTCTTACTGGGTGTTTTGCTTTAATATCTCATCTGATTTCCGTGGGAGGTTTACCTGACTAAGATCTTCCACAAAGCAGAATAATTTCTTGTTCCCCCTACCAGGTAACAAATGCCAGCTTAATACATCAATCCATCATCACATAGTTATGTGTTAAGTTTAGCCAAAAGCTCCAATAATAAATTCTAATCTCCTTAAGATAATAAAATAGAAAATTAATGTGAACCTATTGTAAATAAAACTGAATTCCCTAAAAAGCAAGGCCTCTTTATACCTTAATAACACAATGGTCCTTCCACCTGTCAGTCTAGAAACTCAGTACCACTTGGTATGACATAATTTATTTTGTTCTAACAAACCTGTTAGTAAGGTGAGCCCTACAGCTGTTGGAGAGAAGATTGTTGAGTGGCAAAACATTAAGTCAGTTCTGCATGGAAAACAAAACTGCACTATTATCAACGGGGCAGAATTGAAGTTGTTTTTTGAAGCACTGGAGCATATATTTTGAAGTGCAACCCTTGCTTTTGCTAATAGGTAAGAGTTTAATTCAGTTGCTTGGGCAAAAATAGAGGCACTGGAACAAGACCTGACTCTTTGTTCAAAGTTCTGCCATGACCATTGCCAGGCATGAAAAGGAGGAAAATTTAACACATCACCCTGGTTCTGGCCAAGACAGGGTTGATTTTCGCAGTAGCCAGGAGGTGGCATGGTTAAGACACAGAGGTTATTCTATACCACCTGACATTAAAACATCACCACAAAACATTTTCCAGGGACAGGGGTTCCATACAGGTCACATAGAGTGGTGGCACAGTGGGGTTTTGTTGGAGGTCTCCATATGGTGTAGTGGTGAGCACTTGCTTGGGAGTGGTTCACCTCTTTACACTCTGTCATTAATATTGTTACTGCTACTGTTCATTTTCTTATTTCATTGCTGTTTCCAGTAAATTGTTCTTATCTCAACCCATAATCTTTACCTTTTGTACCTCCAATTCTCCTCTCCATCCCACTGCAGGGGAGGGAGAAGGGAAATGTGGGAGTGAGCCAGCAGTGCGTGGTTTGGAGTGTTTTGGTAGGAACACTAAATTGGGGAATACCATTCCTAACCCACAACACACATCCTGTTAGGAAATGTGGAAATTAGCTACCTGAAGGAGAAATGCTTCTCTTCCCTTTACAGTGAATGGCTGTGTGATATACCAAAGATTTTTTTTTAATTTCAGGATGTAGTGTTACTGGGTAACACCCCACAGGCTGTACTATGATCTATGACACAAGACAGAATGTTCAGAATGGGCCCCATTCTTCCCTTGCCCTAATTATTGTTTCATTAAAAAATAATTGTCTATCATCCCAACTCGTTGGTACCTCGTGACACGGACACACAAAAGTCCACCCCAAATCTCCTGTCATAACTCATCATGATGCAGTGCTATGTGAGCCATGGGTTGTCTCCATAGTAGAGAATATTGCTCATGTCTGGCAGAAAAGAGTTTGCCTGAGGGCTAGATGAAAGATAAACAGGGCTAGCTAAAAAACCAAAGAGTTATTTGCCAAATGTGAATGGAGTAAATTCTCTTGTGATCCATGATGCAGAGTATGGTACACATTTGATACTTGTATGTATCAGGAAGAGGAGTGTCTGCCAAAAGGCAGGGAAAGCACATGCCACTACCACTTTCTTTCCCAGATCCCTTCATCCCTTGTGGTAATTTAATTTTTCTCTTTCATCCTGAGTAAGTGTTGAGCTTTGCTAACACCAAAAGAACAATTCGTTATGCTTTGTGATAATTGGTCTGTTGGTAATTTGAAGGTTGATTAGTTTTTTGTTACCTGTAATTACAAACAGCCACTCTTAAGTGTTGTTTAGTGCCAATATGCTGCTCTAGTCAAGAATAATTTAGAAATTTCTCTTGTAATTGAAAGAAACTGCTGATGGTCAGGCAATCTGGCTGATGGATGGATCCAATACGTGTTCTCTCGTCGTAGATGATACCAGCAATGAAAGGACCATGCACTGGGCTTGTTATGTCAGTTAATTGCCATTTGTTGTTAATCAGTTACATACAACCAGCACAGATAGTCTCCATTGACCTGCAAGAGGGGTAATCATTATTTGGCACAGAGTCCTGCTCACTTTAGTCCCTGGGCTCTTGACAGAAGATACAGTCTTGTTTCTGATCCTCTCCTGATTCAATCTGGATAGTGATGGAGTGGAAGCTGTAGTGCTCAGACAGGGTTTGGGTAATATCTCTCAAAATCTTCTGGCTGTCTGTTGTGTCTGCTATAGATAGCAAGCAGAAAAATAATCAAAACACATACATTTTTATAATACTTTAAAGAAGAGTAAGTGTTTACTGACAGAAACTTGTACCAATAAGTTTGTTTGAGAAGTGTTTCTTGTCCTTTTTATCCTTCTTTCAAGAACCTCCATGTCAGCAAAAGATTGTTCATTCAAATGTGGTTGGAAAACGCAATTTTTGGCAAGAGCTAAGCTAAGAGTAATCACCATAGAAATTCAGTCTGGCAGAAGACTGGAGAAAACAAGAAATACTTAATAAAGATTAGTTCATCCAGTCACAGGGTAGCAGCAGTGCCCAGTGATTTGGGTGGCTGATAGACCCTCTGTTTTTGGGAAGTGGGGACACCATGGAGGACCTCACCTCCAAACCTGTCCTTGGCAAAAAGCAGGTGGATTTTTTTTATTAAATAGATCTTAATATGTACAAAGCAAACATATGGATGAGAAAATTGATCCGTAGAGTGCACAATTTGTCAACTCAGATAAGAATTACAGTTTTAAAAATATTTTAAAATATTAACTGTTCCCATGGAGTTTTCTCTACATTCTAAACTATGTTTAAAGATTGTTTTACAATTAGAGATGCATCTGCAATGCAGATTTACCCTATAAGTTTTTGTTATAGGGATCAACAGTTTTCAAGTTTGACAAATCCACTCCAAAATCTATTTGATATTGTGAAAAAAATCCAATCTGAGCCTAATTCTTCTAATTTATTTAAAATATCTTGTGGTTTACTTTCTTGCTTCACAGCCTCTGTAGTTTTCAAGTTTTGGACTAAGTAGAGGTCCCTGTTGTTTTGGAAGGATTTCTGGGAAGATAATTTGAGAGCTTTTCTTGTTATTGTTGTTGTTTTTATCTTTCCAACAAAATCATGACAATTTTTAACAAGCAACTGATATACAGTCAGTTTCATCCAAATCAGGAAAGACTGACCTTTACTAGACAGCAGCTGAATACTTACTCCCTGCTTACAGAAATTTACTGACCTGTGGCAACGTGAGCAGACAGAGCAGTTTGATTCATTGTCAGAGACCAAAGATGAAGGTTGTGAATAGACTCCACTTTCTCAACTGCTAAAATCCTTGCTTTCACTTCATCATAAGTAAATCCTTTCGATGTTCCTGAAAAGGGAAAATAAATGAGAAAAGAATATTTTAAGGGATAGAAATGATGATTGATAGAGAAAAATGTATCATGAACCTTTTTTCACTTAGATGTATAATTTTTAAAAAAATATTTAATGCTTTGGAAAGCCCATATATTTCAGAGTTCACTGTGCTATTTAATCCTACCCCTTGTTATATACTTGTCCATGGAAGGTTGAGACTCATGTGTGTTTGAAGAGATACCCTGAGGGTTCTGCTTACATAGGGTGAGCTCTTTAGCCAGAATATGTCCTAGTTTTGCACCAACACAATTTGTAAGTGCAGATTCTGTGGCATCACTTGAACACCTCTGGGGCATTTTGTCCTCAATACATTTACACAATAGAGAAGCATCTTTTTAGCAGAGAAGGAAAGATGAATGTGAAGATTAAAATGATTTGACTCAGGAATCTTAAATGAGATTAGATCCCAGGTCTAGTTATTGAGTAGCCAGTGATTTTTTTCCTAGACAAGTCTTCTTACAATACATGATGGTGGTGACCCTCTTTCAGAGTGAGGACAATTGTGACAGGATGAGTTGCAACGTGAAATTCAGAGTTTAATCTAAATCCAAATTTGAATAAGAAGTTTAACTTCGCATCATCCCTGGAGTGAGGCATGGGAATCTGCAAATGCACGTGAGCAGCTATGAGCTGGGATGCTCATCATGATCCACTTGGATCAGTAAACTGAAAAACATTTTTAATTCCACCACTTATGAAGTATAATAATGATGAGCACAGTAGTGGTTAATTTTGTCTTTTATATCTTAACTGATACTTACTTGTAATTGTCAATGACCTCACTGTTGTATGCTTTGTCCTATCCATTTATTACAACAATGATATGCTCTATGGAGTACTGACTTAATAGAATATGATGCTGACATGCTCATGCTCTTTCAGAGAAAACCATGGACAATCAGTGCCTACGTGACACAGTCAGTCACAGGGGTTGTAGAACTGACGGCCTGGGACAAGGCTGGATCCATGAGATAAGAGCCACCTCCAACACCAGCTCCAACATCCAATTTCTCTTCAGAAAATTCTGGGCAGAATGCTATTTAGGAGACAGGAGACTGGCTTCAGAGCCCCCTCCAGGAGGACAGTGTAAAAGGGCTTGCTGCAGGGGAAACACAGCACTGTGATTTTGGCATATCAGCACTGCTGATGGAAGGTGGGAGTCACTGCTCTGAGAAAGAGACTCCTGAGTGTCAGAGTTTGCCAGACCTTCCTGATGGTTTGATTTTTTTTCAGTAATGAAGACATCTTCTGATTTTTTGACAGCCAGAGTACAGCCAGCTGATGCACTCTTGTCTAGGTACACTTCTACATGGATGTATCTCTATCTCACAATCACTGAAAACAAAACAACCCTAGAGTGAAACTTTACTGTAAAACAATATTAGAAAAATTATTTCTTGAAACAGAAGAAGGTGCAAAGTGAAAGAGAGAAGTAAATAGCCATGCAGACAGTCACACTGAGTATCCATTCAAAACCTGCACCATTAGAGCTACTTTTCTCTTTAATCCTTATGTTTTCATAGCTGAGAAAGAGGCTGCATTATGTTATTCAGTGTGAGGAAGGCAAAAACATGCCTCTGTGAATGCTCAAGTCATTTGGACTTAAAAATCAAATGTTCAGGTCCATAGCTGGCAGGATTAAATATTGCTAAGCCTAGTTCTTCTTGCTGCTGATGTACTGAGAATTGCCTATTCCAGTGCACTTGAACATGACTGGAAAGGCCCAATAGCTTGCTTTTCTGGACTGGTGTAACTAAAAATCTGTTAAACTTCTGCCTCTTGTACTCAGTCTATTTAACAGAAATAGTTCAAGGCGCAGTCTTTTTCTCTTTCTTTTTCTTTTTCTTTTTTTTTTTTTTTTTTTTTGCACAAAGACTTGTATTTCACACAGGTAAAGGAAATACATGATGAACAAGGTGAGCAGGCATCTCATATGCCAAAAGGGTGATAAAAAGCAATGCTACACATACGACAGACAAAAGCAACTCAGAGGTCATGAGCAAAACACCAATAAACTGATTTTTACAAAAACTAGCATATGGATAAACCTAGAGTAATAGCAGAAAACACTTTTGATTAAAATTGTAAGTAGGTTTAAAGTATGATCAGAATTATGAGAATATTGGAAACTGATCCAGAAGTGTGTTATTATAATTTTTCAGCATATATAAGCATTGTGGAGAAAGAGAGAGAAAAAACAAACTCAAAATATAAGTTTATTGATTCTGGAATCAGGTCCTACCTTCCATTAGCACAATCAGAATATCCCTTAAAATGGTGATGGTACTTGCCAAAACAAAGATGGAAAACACAAATGTGCAGATTGGGTCAGCTATTTTGTATTCTGGCTAGAAAAATATGAACACATCACTTTGTTAATTTCATTTTTGTTGGTTACTGTAATTTTTAATTAGTTAATATCAAAGACTGATATATTCAATTCATCTAGTACGGAATGAGTGCTGGCCTCCTTTGCCAGGGAGCCTCAGCACAGGGAATGAAGGTGCTACAGATGACAAAAGGGAGAGACACTGAAGTATCCTCTTGGAACACTAAGAGGCAAGTGTTACACTCTCAACAGTCATTTCAGTTCCCAAATATAGTTCTCTTTGACTAAATTACAATGTATATCATTAAGACAGAGGAAATATTTACATAGTACCCAATGTCACAATGCTGTGAAAGTAACACTTATCCTTAATTGCAAGGAAGGCAAGTGAACTAGTAAAACTAACCTTAAAGAAGATGATAAGCGCACTAATTAGCACACTAATGCTCTGGAAGAGGTCTCCGATGGCATGCACAAAGGCTGCCCGCAGGCTAGCATTGCTCAAGGATGGCTTTTCTGGAGGGGCTGACACGTGTTCCCCCGCTTGTGCCCCATGGCTGTGCCCGTGGCCGGTCTGGTGCAGAATCAGGCTTAGTCTGCAAGAGACATAAAGCCGCAAATACCAGCGGATATACTGCATCTCTGAAAGCAGTGATGTCACACACATCATCACCCCTCTCACTTCTGAATGCTGAACAGTAAAATCTGACACATTAAGTAGAAATGCAGAGTGGCTAGGCAGACAATTCCTGCGTGTTTCAGTGGTTTGCATACAAACAAGAAAGTCTGTGAACCGGGTAATTAACGAGACCTCATTTTCTACAGAGTTCTTGAATATTCTGACATCGAATAAAAAGTGAGATGGAGATTAATCTTTTCCTGGAATTTTGCTTTTCCAGTGTGCAGCTAACAGAAAGTAGCAGAGCAACTGCGACTTTCGATGAGAAGCGAGATCTCTCTTCTCAATTCATTACTATGTCCTCATGAAAATCATAAGTATTTAATATTTTCGAAGCCAATATCTCTCTATAGTTTTTCTATTGAATTACAGCAGCAGGCTCAAGTTTCAAATATTACATGGAGATGAAAACAAAATAACTTACGAGATGTTGGCGAGCACGGCACAAGCAGAGGTGATGAGCATCACTGTAGTATCAATATCGTAATCAGGGTGTAGCAACCTCACGCTAGCCAAATACGTCAACACACCAGTCACCATCCAGACAATTATCATAGACATCAAAGCTCCCAGAATTTCTAGGAATTAAAACAATCTGATTTTAACAGTCAGAAGAGAAATGCAAGAAATTTTAAGAGTTTTATGGTAATGGTTCCAAGCTTGTTGAGCTTTATAGCCAGGAGACCTGCATCTTTTTGTATGTTGGCAGACAAAGCTTATAAAGAATGGGCCAAATCCTTTCTGGTCATAGCAAATCCAGAGGCTTCCCAGGGTGGCCTTATGCATGTGATGGCCTAACCTTGTTCTACCTGCCCCTACTTTTGTCTCCTTTCCACTGTTGAGTTCATGTGTCATTCAAAGAAATTGGGGAGATGAAAAAGATCATTTGGGCAGTTCTGGTAGGAGTAAAAAGAACTATAATGGGAAGGAAGGATAAAAGAGCAAATCTTGTGTAGTTTCCTGACCCTGAGAGTGTGGTGTGAAAACCCCAAAGATCAGCCCTCCTTCCCCAGCAAGGTTATCTTGGTCACAGGAGCAGAGGTTGGAGGGAAGGAGAGAGACACAGCTACTCAAACCCACTGGCAGACATAATCCCTGTCCATTAGCCTTCCCTCTTTCTGCACACTTATCACTTCACACTTCAGAAAAGCAGTAACAGCCACCATAGAGGTCCTGCCAGCAAAACTTATCCTGGAACTCATCCTGCCAATGCCACAAAATCGTTTTTGTGCCACCAGCTGTGATGAGAACAAAAGAAGTTATTTTTTCCCTGGGGCAGCAAAATTTAATTTTGTCTCTATTGGCTCTGAGTTGGGCTCAAATAAATCCAGTCCCCAAGGCCACCTTTTATTGCACTGCCATAGGAGAGGTCCAGGGAAGCGCATATGAATGTGCAGCATGCTTCTAATAGGATGAGGGACTAGTAATTGCCATGTGACTTGAATTGGTAAATGAGCACAACTGAGACAGTACCAAGGAAAACGAAAGCTCACAGTGAAAGGAAGTAGATAGCCAGAAAGCATCTGCACAGACTTCCACTGGCAATCCCCTGAAAATAGCTTAGGATTTTGATTACATTCTTATGAGGGTCACCCCCTTTGCAGCAGTCCGGGCTCCAAATACTTATCAAATAACCATTTTTGATAAAACTGGCAAATAACAAATGAAAGTGCACTGACAGGGGAATCTAGTTTTGCTTCAAAGTAGAGAGAAGCTCAAATAAGGCATACATTTTTTTTCTGCAAGTTAGAGGTTGAAACTGCAAATTTGGCCCAACTGAAGGTGTCAATGGTTGTGCTATCATGGGCATGAAAGCAGCCAACAGCTTTTGAGAACACCTGTGTTCATATCTGTGTGGATGTGTGCATATCCTCCACAACAGAATATGTTAAAGTTCACCTTTGCCTACAAAGGTGAAAATACATATTAATTTTCAATGTGTTATCTTAGCAAAAGTTTAGTCAAGTTTACAGACCAGTTCAGCAGCACTAAGTTCTCAGTTAAGTTTCTTCAGAACTATTAGCACTAACAGAGCACAGCAAACAATAGTGTAGGATTGTGTGGGAATCTTTGAATCATAGCAGAGGGAAATTGAGGTGCAAGAGAGTTTTTGTACCTGGAAGTAGGTTTGGCTCACACTATCAGTCTTACTCAATATTGTGCTTCTATCTGTGCTGTTGAAAGCAGCTGCACTGGCTCTGGTTTGCAGGGCAGGAGGCATTCAGATGACTTCTGCTAAACCTGAACCTGTCATACAGTCTTTTCATGGCAATATCTATCAGTCTGGGAGCAGCAGTGAACAGACAGCTTCCAGAATCATGGAAGGCTGCACCTGCAAGACCTCAGTGAAGAATGACTTTATCACCTGACTCCCCTCAGCTGCTCTATTAAGATACCTATCTGCATGTTAAACTGGAAATAGAGCTGGGAAAAAAAGCAAGAAACAGGATAACCATCATGGAATGCAACTAAATAGCCCCTAAGGTTTGTTATAGGGCTTTCTTTGCAGATAAAAGGGTAATAAAGGATTGATTTTGAACTTCTGCATTGCAATGAGAAAAAAAAATCTACTTCAGACTGAGGATGAAGTTACATGAGGTGGCTAAACCTGCCTACATCAGCAAGAGAGAAGTCTCTCCCTTTTTTTGCCCCCAGGCTAAGAGAGCATAAACACAAAAAGTAATGAATGATTTACTGATGGTAAGGCTGCAAAATTCAGCTGTGTGTTGTCTCTGTAATACCAGCCATTCCTGAGTAACACTGAACCTCCCTCTCACCCAGTTTGTTTCCAGCAGAGCTGATAGAATATACTTAGGGAACTACATAAAGACAGGATGAGCATGGCATTATGTCTTCCCTGGTACTTTCTGTGGCTACAAACAACCTTGGTCTACAGACATTCTGAGCCGGAAACTGCTTCTGGGCCTTCATACTGAACATCCTTGAAGCATTTATCACCTGAGTCCTTGGTTCAGGTGCACAGGTGTCTAGAGTCATTTGAGATACATTGGCACCTCCATGTATGGCTTGACATGAGACGTGTAATTTATCCATAGACTTCTGGAGTGGCAGCTGGGTTTCAAACAGCATGAGTCATTCACATATGAGCAACTAAACTGAGTCCCAAGACATCCAGCAGGAGATTAAATTAAATTTAATTTAATTAATGGGACAATTAAATTGAATTGTCTACCTGTAGGTGTGAGCTAAGCTACCTTTATGGACAACGGATGTCAAATTAATGGTGATTGGCTGACTGGAAATACATACTAGTTTCTTAACTATGAGCATCTGACCACATTTGACATGCTCTGGTCTTGTGCTTGGCGTTCTGTGCAGTCTCCTGTGGGTCTTGTGTGACAGCTGCCACTCCCATGTATAAGACTCAGACATCCTAGGGATGTAGCACTAGACTTCTATGCTCAGGCACCTGAATGGAGTCTAGATTTCTTTTGAATGTATCAGACTCTATATTTATATGTGGTCATGTATGTCTAGCATTGATATTTAGGTGTCTAAACCTTGAACATACTCTGAGACATTTTTTCTCATGGTTAATGTTTTGCTGGTGTCTTGTCTTTTGTAAAAACACTTGTGTTTGATTATAAGGCTTTTGATATCATGTGTCATTGGTAAAAATATTGATTTTGATTAAGGGCAGGGTATGTTAAAAACCTGCCTGTGTTTGCATCTGATAAAAACCAGCAATGATAAAGAGAATTGCAAGGAGAGGATCTAAAAAAGGGCAAATGTTAAAGGATCTCACTTTTCTACAAATGTAACATTGACTTTTTAAAATAATTTAATAATTTGCTTTATAAATAGATTAAAGCCTCATTTTTATGGGTATCAGTACTTTGATAGAAACTTGTATTTCATTACAGATTGAGGACTTAGTCCTCCTCACACTCAGTTCAATGAGGGAAGTTGCTGTTACCTCAGCCAAAGGTGGCACCAGCCCAAAACTATAGAAAATATAAATCTGAAAGACACACTTGTAGATAAGAGATGCTCTTTACTTCTTTGAACCGCACTGCCTTACTCTGTTTGTCTTGAGTCCTGGGGGCTTTGAGAGCATTAATGCACTCTCTCTAAATGCCTGCAGAACTGTGTTGGACACCAGCACGTTTTCCAGTCCCTGGCTATGATAACCTCTCTTTCCCATTCCACATGTTCATACTGTGAGATGTTTGCTACCTGCTCGGTGCCACCCAAAAGTTAGTTGCTTAGTAGGAGGTTTGGAGGCAAGCCACAGCGAGAAGAGGCTGATCAGGAAACTCGTCAGGTCCACCAGGATGTGTGCTGCATCCGTGATCACCGCCAGGCTCCCAGCAATCTGCCCACCTGTGCGAAACACACATCCACATCAAGGCTCTAGTCAGAAGCTTGAGTCAACCAGGTCAAACTCAAGACCTGCTTTGTTGTGAATAAGAGGGAACACTCAATTTTCAGTCATCATACACAAGACTCAAACCACTCCAAAGATCATTTCATTTTGTACCTCATTCATGTAATAAAAGGTATGAATTGATAGAAATACATAAGCCAAATTCCTTTGTAAGAGAGAGAGACCTAAAAACAATAAAAGTTGTGAAACATTAGTTCTGTGGTTATTTTACTGTTGGACTGTGAAAATCCATATTAGGAATCACATTTTCAGTATTGCCCCACTATCTTTTCACAGAACACTGATATTTTTATGTATATACAAACATTCAGAGATGTAGCTTATGGGACTCATTTCCTATTTGTTATAGGAAAATTTGCATGTTCTTCCTGAGGTTTGGATAGCTAGATGCCAGACTGTTTATTTGTCACAGGCAACACTTAAACAGGAATACATGGAAAGGTCCCAGTCGAAGGCCTGTGATAAACAACTAACCATTTTAGTGAAGGCATGGAGAAAAATGTTCTGTTTTCAGGACTAATCTATCACTTTACATCTGTAATGCATGATTTAATTTTCCTGCTAGAGCTCATAAAATGTGGCTGAATATCATTTTACTTTGCTGGGGTTGGGTTTTACATGAATTCTGAACTAAAAAACCGCAAACACCAAAATCAAATCATTTTAGGTTATTGTAATCCACATTTTTTTTAACCACTAAGCCAAATATCATAGTTTTGCAAAATTCTTCTAACCATGTCTCAGGGCTAAGGGCAGATCCAAATAAACTAAAAGTTTGTTCTTAACTGCCCCCACTGCTGGTGGCTGTAGGAGAAGACAAGGATCACAGGCAGGACGCTGTCCTGCCAACTCATTACAGCAGGAGAATCTTTTCATCAGAGTGCAAATGTAGAAAAATGGAAATATGAAATAATAGAGCCAAAGCATCTAGTTTCTGCATTTGGCAATACATTTCCATTCTTCAGTCATTTAATTAATTGCAGTTCACCCATTTCTCCTAACCACAATCCATATGAGAATCAATGAATCCTGAGAAACTTCGTAAAATGACTCATTCAAATCTTTGGCAGGATACCACTGTCAAAGGGACTTGTAGGCACATCTCTTGTTTCCTTATAGATGCAATGTCTTCATGCCAGTAGGATGGACTGTCTGTTTAATTTTCTCCTGTATGCAGATTTAGATTAGAATACCAAACATCGTATGTTTTGTCACCACAGGAGAATGGATTTTGCACATGTAAGGCATATGTTATTTTTCTCTGTTGCCTCCCATTTACAATTGCCTGAAAGTTACTTCCCAGAAGGGAGCATGCATGGCTGCAGAATTTGGGGGCACCTCATTCCTTGCAGTAAAATGAAAAATTCAGCAGAATAGGTGTTTCCCAGGACATGCACAGATATAAATACACATATACTTTTTGGTCATGACACAGCTTTCAGGCTTTCACTGCTTGCAGCGTAGCTGTATCTCAAGTGGGAGGCAGTTTTGCATAGCAGAGGGAAGAAGGCTTGTCTGACAGTGTACAGATGTTAACAACCAAGGCAGCAGCTGTCTTTCAGCAAACAAATATTTAAAACACAAGCTGCATGCAAAATCCCATCACATTTTAGATATTGTATTTCCCTATTCTGTGACACAATATCTATATATACACAAAAGCTTGCTTCTAGCCTTCTGCCTTTGAAAAATGTTTGCAAATTATTATTTTATATACTGTTCGTGTAACTAATACCTTGGGTAAGTTTCTGAAATCTCAGTCTACTTATCTGAGCAACTCGGTCAAGTCTTTATATTCTCTTCTGACATGAAGACGCAAGCCAGGTTTGTCTTTCTTTCTAGTGCCCAAATGGAAATAAAGTACTTTGAAGTCCACATTTGGTCAGTAGCCACTAAAAATCTTCAGAAAGTACTTTCATATCAGGGCTCTACACTGGGTGCTATTGGTTTGACTGATATCTCCAAATCTATGGAGATTGCGATGGGTCTGGTTTAGAAGAATGGAAGATAATTGTCTTTCAAAGACAGTTGGTGTATCAGGCTCAGTCAAGTGCCCCTTCTGGGACAGCAATAATGGCCAGCAGAGATGGTCTGAGCAAAAATATCACGAAAATACCTAGGCATTCAAACAAGCACAACTTTTCAACCTCTCTGAGAGGGATGCAATTTTGTTTCTTCTGTTTAACATAACAGTGCCCACAGAAGCTGTTTGCCCTTAGAGTAAAAGGAAGGAGAAGGTATCCTTTACTTTCAAGAGTAAAGCCTGTGTAATAGTTATAGGCTTTAACTGCTCTGTATCAATACTCCCAACAAGTGGCCTTTATGGCTTATTATTCCCCACAATGGATGTTTATAGCTTTGTATACCACAAGCAGTAGAAATTGTTAGTCACTCAATGGTCAATCATCAGGCAGAGGCAGTCTTGCCTAATGATTAAAAAAACTAAATGTATGGTTCATAATTACAAAAATCTCCATAGAGCGCTGTCTGTAACTGCAGTTAATAACTGGTTTGTCAAAGTTTAATGGTCTGAAGCAAAATGGTCTTCAAGCCTGTTACTTAAGCTGTCACTGCAAAAAAGCTGTATGATTCATTAAGCAAAATGAAACATTTAGTTAACATATCATCTGTCCTTCCAATTATCCTCTAGCGTTGCTGCATTCACCAAACTTAAGCCTACTGATTATATGGTTTTGTTAATAATGCATTACTTCTGGCACTGGAAATTACTGCATGGGGATTAGCAATATGCATGGGTTTTCACAGGGGAAATTCATATGACCCACAGAGAATGGGGCTTCAGGCAGATGGAGAGCGTGGGAGGGAAGAGTTGGAGAAGTCTCTGCTGGGTTTGGCAGCGAGGGTAGAAGGCAGAAATGCAACAACTCTTTCAGTGCCTCCGCTTCTCACCTATGGGGAAGACAAAGCCTTTCTCTTTCATTTTCATGTGGCTCCAGAGGTCCCTGAGCTACGAAAATATGGGTTTCAGAGGCCTTCCTGGCTGATTTTTGTTACATCGTCTGGAGCTCATATGGCAAAGGTCTGTGGGATTCCTCATGCCTTCCCTTACCTCACCTTACTGTGGAGAAGGGCAAGTTAAAGAGCCAGGAATTATCAGTTGGATATAAATATCACAGAATCCATGGAGAGAGCAGATCAGTGGGACAAAATGAAAGCTAATGCTCTATGAGCAACCCAAATACTTATATTGGATATTGTAGGATGGGTCCAGAAGTGAAAGCTAATTAGGTAGGGGAATAATCTTCCATTGATCCAGAGACACACCAGCAGGCCAATTTAAAAGATAGACGTGCTTGATATAAATACATTGACTTAACTGCAGAAAACCAGATGGCAAATCTGGCCCTGGATTTCCCTGGATTTTGTGGAGACTCTTGCATTTATTATCAGATTCTGCTGCTAGCAGCCTTCATCAGTGCTGAGTCTCATTGGCCTGGATAAATATGTAAAATCCTTTAATCTTTAAAAAAAAAAATTCCAGTTTATTAGAAACCTTTTGTGACATCATGCTAAGACATATAGCCACTTTTAGTCAAGTTTAAAGACCTGGGAGAACAGTTCAGACTATTAACTGATCTTTATATTCCTACCCAGATACAGTCCTTGAATGAACATATAAAAATACTTTGATAATTTCACTTAACCCCCCCCCACACACACACACCCCTCCCTGGTGATTCTTTTAATGACTGGTGACAAAGGAGGGTTATTTAATCCCAGCTACTGTGGGTCCCTACAGGCACAATGTGTACAGAAGGCATGAATGTGACTGTGCTGGGCACCAGACTGAGCTCTGTTTGAAAACACATACTCCCCTGTTATCTCAGCAATCATGAAGAAGATGCAAATTACTGATGCTACACAGAGCTTCTTCCTGGCTTGATGCTGCTCCCTCTTTCTGTTCTCATAGGCCTGTGAGTAGCCGTGACAGTGATACACTGGATTAGCTTCAGCAACTTCTGCTTCCTGCTTCTGCCTCTCTTCATTTAAATTCTTCCTAAGCCAGCCCATCCTTTGGGATAGAAAGAAACAGAAGGTTAAAAAAGAAAAACCCTAGTTATTTGGGCATCTAGCCCTGTAGACCCAGAAACTATGTACTTAATGTTTTCAAAGGATAAAAGCAGAGCTGTGAACAGCAGCACAGGTCACAGAAGAGGCTTGCTCGCACAAGCAGGGCTCTGTGGGAGGGAGCTGCACATGAAATAACTGCTCTGATTGTGTTTCCCAGCTCATTGGGCTCTCCTACATCATTTAGCAGTTTATGAAGTGCAGGGTGGCTTTCTTAGGCTGTGTATTTCATGCACACCATATGATTTTCAAAAAGTCATACCTCATGCAAATAGTTACCAAATTCAGCATATCATGGAGACAATTCTAATGAAAAATTCAGGATTTTATTCCCAATAGCTTTGTCAGGAAGACTAGTAAAAAAAATTGAAACTTTAGCTTTGTCAGGAAGACTAGTAAAAAAAATTGAAACTTTTTCTCAAATACAAATGGCTAAAGATATTTCTTTCCTTTCTTTACACCCAGAACTATTTTATCTTAAATTTCCAGGTATGTACAAAAACTATCAGTATTCCTGCAGAACCTGAGCATAGAAAATACTGGACCAAAAAATTCAAAGGTATTTAAAAAATCATTGAAATCAATTTTTCATAGTATGCTGACCCCTTTGTGCCACTGCTTTCACAGAAAGGTGAGGAGTTCAGTAGAAGTGGCTCTTCAAGCATTTCTCCATCACAAGGTGATTTCCCAGCCAAATCTGCTCTGCTAAAAAGCCTCGGTGTTGTCCCTGTCAGGGTTCCACAGCAAATACACAGTGGGAATAGAGAGGTCCAGGGCCATCACATTACAACTGTGGAAACTCCTAGATGACCATGATATCTGGTGCTTTCACTACAGTAACCCAGAGACTGCCCAGGGGAGCCCCCACGGTGCTTTGGTGAGCAAGGATGTTCCCTTCTTGTTGTCTTTCAGCTGAAAAGAACCCAAAGGCTCACTCTGTCCTACAAGGCTCGACTGAAAACCACTACATCTCTCCAGATAAAGCATTTGTTGCCAGAGCTACTCCTGATGTGATAACTGTGTATTGAGACTGTGGCATCAGAAGGTGAATTCTGCTGAGATGCACACACATAACATCCATATAACCATGCAGCTAATTGAGGTCTGTGGGTGCAGGGCCTACCCAGGAACACAGCAAACTCCACTGCTTTATTTCAAGTCTGAAATTAGCCTGGGGGCAGGATGTGGGACTGGGCTTAGCTGCCCCAGTAATAACAGCTTCTTTACCCCATTCTGATTCAGACTTTCTTTTGAGTCACAGAAAAACTATTTCTTCAGCTGAGTGAAGGAAAGTTGTGCTCCAGGAAGTAAGATGGATCCAAGTGACTGTCTGTAGTGTTTCTGCACTTATCACTGAAGTGTCAAGATGCCTAAAATCTCACTGGAAAGAAATCAGCTGGTGGCTGCCAACCTGCAGTAGTCAATGTCAAGAAAAAAACTGTACTGAAATCACAAGCTTTTTCCAGCTGCTTTTTATGGGCAGCCTGAGCGGGCTGCAGCTGCTCAGCAGGTCTGAAGTCCTGCCAGATGCCCCACACCAATGGGCAAGAGGCTAAGGCACCTGCAGAGCTGTGGATGCCTTGGCCTTTCGTGTTCATCGGCACCACAGAGGTACTGGCAAAAGGAGAAAAGCTGACCCGCTTTGGCAGCCAAGCCCTGCAACTGTAGATAATCAGTATGGGTTTGGTTTTGTAAATATTATTGAGATGTTCCAAGGACGCAACATTCCCCTGAGTCAGCCTGCTTCCCAGCCTGGTTAGCATGTGGTCTCTGTTTGCTCAGTGGAGGTGACTGATTCCCCTTGTACATGAGGGGCTTGTGTGAAAGAGCAACTGGTCAGATTTAATGCCTGGTGCTTGGAGACGGTGAGTTTTCTTAGTCCTTTTGTCAGCATTTTTCTTTATTTTTCTCTCAACAATGAATAAATGGAAGCTGGGCTGCCTGGGGAATGGGCTGCCCATCTGGCAGCTGGGGTCCCTACTAGCCAGTCCTTCTCCAGTCCTTTAGCTTTATATTCATCATGGTCCTCATGTGCTCTGTGTCACTTTTGTACAGTATTTTCCTGATGAATTAGACACAGAAGGTACAACAAATTAATTCCTTCCAGATGGCTGAATAAAATGCTGCAGTTCTCTCACTCTCCCCTGGAGATCAGGGCAGGCAAGATTTTCTTTATCGTGATCTCTCTCTGGAGTTAACTTCCAATGCTTTTCTATAGTTTGCATGTAAAATTAATTTCCCCTTACCTCAATTTTCATCAGCTGGCATTGAACATTAAAATCATCTTAATTACATGAGTCACGATCAGCTCAACAGCCTGTCAGGGCAGGGATGGCAAAACTGCAGCTGCATATTTCTGAGCCACCAAATCCTTTTCTTGCTGTTAACAAAATAGGTTGCTCTGTGATCCCACTCCTTTTTTTTTTTTTTTTTTTTTTTTAATCTTCAGGTCTCTTTATCAGCTAAGAAAACATTGGGGCATCACAGAGGGGCAGGAAACCACTATCCACAGATATTGTTGGACAGATGCAAAAGCAAACAAAGATAACATAAACCCACAAATGTCACTTTTTTCTGTCTAAAGGGCACCTAAATAAAAGTGCCCCAGTTGCCAGAGGTGGAGAGCATTCACTGAACTCACAGAACAGCATCTGGCCCAATGAGTTCAAAAACTCCTGCCAGCTCCTGTGCATTATTTTTCTCTTCCAAAAGCAGCCTGCCACTAATTAAAAGAATCTGAGAGGCAATTTTATAAAAGTGTAAATCAAAAGCTTAAGGTGCAAAGATCAGCTCTGTTGAAAGAGAAACCCCTTCAGAGTGTGTTAGAGCAAGATGTAGCCTTTGAGTATCAGATCTCTGCACCTGCACGTTACAGAGTCACAGATTAAAAAATAATCTTTTCTCCATTTCAAATTCTCTTTTCTTTGTAAAGAAGATAGTCAGGGGAATGTCACAGAAAGGCTCCTACTGAGTCATGCCCAGAAGGGGGGAAGTAGAAAATATTAATACATATTGCAGATTCCACACAAATCATTAGCAATAGCTTTTTATTACAACTTCCTTTTGTTTGTTTTCACTTGATCTGCTGGGTGCCTCGATCTGCAGGCTGATGGCAATAATTGCCATCCTCCTAGACCATTATGAGTTCCCCAGTCAAAAGAGTAAAATTTGGAATCACTGCACTTCCCACAGGAGATCGTCTCCTTCACAAGGGAAAATAGTAATTTTCTGGTGCCTGAAAGGATAATGAAACTGCCTTCAGAGAAAAATTTATCAAAGCCATAGTCACCTCCCTTATTCTGGCACAATTCTGGTGTCGATCTTGAATATTTCCAAGGCATTTAAGACCCTGTTAATAGCCTGGCTGTCCAGTTTCTCATTTTCCTTATTGTGGGCACAAAATAAAGGCAAATATTTATATATTTTCCTACATTTAGATGTCTAATAATTGGGAATTTGTGCCTTGGTTATTTTATTTAATTGCATTTTGAGGGCCTGGCCCTGCATACATAAATGTACTGTCATTAAATTTCCTTCCTCAAAACAGTAAAGCAAAGGTTGCCTGGAGATAGACCAAGGTGTATGTAGCCAAGTGTGCAAACTCTGTCATGATCATGAAGGAATACATAAGGACAAAGTACCAAAAATGAACATATCCAGAGAAGGGTTACTTCCCAGTTTTACAAATCTGGAGGCTGGGAAGTGGCTGAACCAGAGTTCCTGCCTAACAGCCCTTTACAGATCTTTATTCCACAGACCCAGTTGACTTGAAAGTGTTGAGTTCCACAGTTTAATTATGATTTGTGTAAACATAATGCATCCTTTGTTACTCTGAAGCTGTCTGCCTGCTATTTTAATTAGTTCTTGTACTGTTAGAAATAATGAATGACTATTCCCTGTTTACCTTCATCACATCATTCATGATTTTTTGTATCATTGTTACACCTCTGAACCATCAATTTTCTGAGCTGATGTCCTAGCCATTTAATTTCTGTTTCATACCACTTACTATCTTGGTTCTAATTTTCTTTCTGAGATGAAGTGGCCATAATTGAAGTGGGCATAATGGAGATGGCATGTGGCCAGTCCTGGGGAGACACAGTCCTTTCTAAAGGGTCCTAATGTCACCAACAGGAGGGCAAAGGCAATGGTATTGATTTTGCTGAGTCTGCTAAAATACTGTGTGCTACTGGGACCAGCTGGCAAGCCAGTACAAAGGAGGCATAACCACAGAGCCCTCAGATAAAACACTTCAGAAGTCACAAGAAACACCTACAGTTTTCCTAAGCATTGAATTCTGTAAAGCATAAGGAGTGGTGGAAAGCCTTTATTTGATGAGGACTCTTTGATCTCATAAGAGTTTTCATATTGCCTGCAGGAAGGCAAAAAAAGAAAAAAATATTCCCTACGTGCCTGTTATACAAAATCACTCTTTACCTGAAGAAATCGTCTCCCAGGCTCACTTCAAACTTTTGCCTATTGGTATGAGCCTGGCAGACAGGAATCAGTCAGGAGCCTAAGACTGATAGGCAGCAATATCTACAGGTCACCTTAATGCCCTGTGTTAAAAACTTTTGCATGAAGACAAGCCCTAAGGTTTTAACACATCTTTTTTACCTTCAGCATCCCCCCCCACTCATTTTTTTCTCTTGTCTCAGAGACAGAACAAAACTCAAAACCTTGAGACTAAAAGCCTTGAGTTTCATTGTGTGATGGTATTCAAATTTCCACTAAAATGACATATAAAGAACATAATCAGAAATTCAGTAAATCATGATGAATTAAGCCAAAATCACAGTATAACTGGCATGATCAGAGGTAAATTCATAGATATAAGAAGTGGAATATTCCCTGATTTAATATTACACTGATCAATTGACAGCAAGAAATAAAATCATCTGGCCTGTCTTCATTCCTGGAAACTTCAGGAATTTGATTGAACTATTACCTAGACTGTGATAAGTGGTTGTCTAGATCACTAGATAGGTGATAACAAATAAAAAAATAGCATAATAAATGATTAATCATTGAAAAACTTATATCTCTTATCCCCATAACTGATTGTGAAAAGACCATAGAAAACCATCTTAGACGCCTAGTTCAGACCTAATTTAAAGAGAGATGGTGCAAATCTCTTTGAATGACTTACAGACAACACTTGCCTGAAGCGGGAGGTTCTGAGCACTCAGCTTCAGACCCTTTTACCATTATATTTCATACCCTTCCTCGAGGCTGGTGGGAAGTGGTCTCGTCTCCTGAAACCCATCCTGAGTAATGTCTTTGTCTGTTACCTGTAGGAGAAGGTGTAGTGCACCTGGTCACCTTGGCAGATGATGCCACCCTGGGGGTGCAGCTGATAGACTGGAGGGCAAGGCTGCCATAAGCAGGCTGGAGGAAGGGATCAACAGGAGGCTTCTGAAATTTTACAAGGATGCATGAAAAGTCCTGCACGTGGGACTGACAGACCTGTGAGACCACATCTAGAATGTTGTGTCCAGTTTGGTGTCCCTAATTTTGAAAGATAATAAACTGGTGCAGGTTCAGTAGAGGGTAACTAGGATAGTTAAAGGCTGGAGCACTTCTGCAGGGATTGGATTTGTCCAGTCTAGAGAAAAGGTGGCTCCTTAAGCACCTGGCTGCTGCCTGCCAATATTTTTGAGGAAGCTATTGAGAAGATGGAGCTTTTTTGCTGTCCATGGAGGAAGAATGAGGTCGTTGGTCATAAAATGAAACAAGTTCAGATCGAATATGAGGGAAAAAAAAGACTGTGAGGTTAATTCAGTATGAGAACAGATTGCCCAGAGAGGTTGTGCAGTCTCCTGAGAGACTTTTTTCAAATCCTGAGAGATTTTTTTCAAGACTAGAACAGAGACAGCCCTGAGCAACCTTGTTCAGTCTCTTGGCTGATCCTGCTCTGAGCAGGAGATTGGACTAGAGACCTCCTTGAGGTCCTTTCCAATGTGAATTTTTCTGCAAGCTTACAATTGATCTATTTTTCATAGGGCTCAGTTAAAGCCCATCCCCTTGTAAGCCTTTCAAGTTTAGCATGGGAAACCTCAATGCATCCAAATCTGCTAGTGACTACAAACAGGCCTGGCATGTGCAAAAAACCCTCCTCCACAGCCCTGAGTACAAGGAAAGGGTCTGCTTTCAGGCTTCCTACTCACATGGTCAAGATAAAAACAGTTTTGTTCTGTGTGTACTTTAATGATGGCATGTATCAAAAAGAAAGAAGCTGGAGGATGGCAAAGAAATATGCAATCTGTGTGCAAAGTAAAGTCTGTTGGAAGCATTAGAGCTGTTCATTAAGCCTACACACGGGGAATGGAAAAATGTGGTAATTTATACCAAAGGCTAAAATGAGCTTATTGCTACTGATCGGCTTAAGACACCTGAAGCTGTGCAGGCAGCTGTTCTGTGTAAGCCCAAGCCCAGTGGGCTGCATTCCCTGATGGGCTGGCTCTGGCCTGTGGGCTGGCACCCTGGGTCACTGGGCTGGTACCTTGGGTAGCTGGGCTGGCACCCTGCACTTCTGGGTTGTAATGGGGAGCAGGACTAACCCTCGGCTGCCAGCTCTTCCCAAAAGGAGGGAGATTGGCTCTCAGTCCCTATTTCTGGTTATTTCTGGGAATGGACAGAGTAATTAGATTGTGCAGTTAATTAGATTTCGTCTGACAGAAAAAGCCAAATGGAAGTGCAGCACAAGGCTGGACAACAAGTCCTCCTCCTTTTGGAGAACTGTGTTACCATCTCCATCTCTCAGTCACCTCAGGACTGCCATTGGGGAACCACCCTGGGGCCAGCCCTCCAGCTCAGGGGCTGTTGTATGTAGCTGCAGCCATCAGCCATTGCAATTGTTGCAGTGATTCGCCCCAACTAACTTCAATCCGAAATTAAGAAATAATTATCAGAAACAAATCAACTCCTCCAGAAGGTGAGTCAGCTCAGATGGGAGGATCAGCTGCCAGATATTCTTTCCCCTAGTGTGCATCCTACCCCTCTTCTTACGAGGAATATTCCTTGTTACCAGTGATCGAAGGAAAACAAGGCTTCCTCATAAGGAAGCCTAAAAATTGTCCCTGTCTCAGGGTTTGTCCAAAATTCTCCCTTGTGTCCAGAGGTGATGAGGGACCAAAGGACCTCAAGCACTGAAGCTGTTTCCACAAAACTGCAAACTTTCAAAAAAACTGACAGTCTTCAGTAACTAAAATGAACTACAGAATCATATGGGATCTTTCTGAAATAGAAATATTACCACAGAAGTAATTTTGGACAGTGCCATGTATATTTATGGAGCCACGTAATAATATTTAAATAATAGCCCAGACATTCAAACGACAAAAATACGATGGCAGTGACCCCAGTATAAGAACATGGAGAGACAGATTTCCATTTGAACTGACAGTGTTTATGCCAAGTTTCTGTCCCACGCGTTTTAAGAGAGCCAGGCAATAAATAACCTGAAAACCAATGAGATAATGGAAATGTCAAGAGGTGCTAAGCTGTAACTGAGCAGCTATTTTCTTTAAAAAATACTTTCTGGTATGAGTCAAAAGGAAGAATGAAAATGAGTTAAACTGAAAAACTATCTTCTGATGGACATTTATACTAATTTTTTAACCCAAGCTACAGCATATCTTATGTTTTCAGAGGATCTTTCTTCACTCAAACAAGCATTTACTCACAAGATCTCTGGCACATGAGAGGTACTTCAACTCTAAGTCCAATAGACTATCCACAGGAATAAAGCATTGCCTTTCTTTCAAACCAAATGGATAATTTACACATTCAAGCATGAAGGAGCCTTGAATCAAACACAGTGTCAATAGCACAATTATAATTCAGCCTAGAATTGCAGCATAATCCATGAGGTTTTGCATCCTACAATAAATCTACTAAGCTTATAAAATACATAGCAGGAGACACTTGCTTCAATAGTAGATTGGTTCAATCCATCACATACGCAGACACATCAGACTGCTGTCTAGTAAATGCTTCAAACATTTAAAAAGAAAGTTTGGGAAGGAAAAAATCAAACAAAACATTTTGAAAGTAGTAAAAGATACTCCCTTCATACACTGTGAAACTTTCTGGGCTTTGACTCCTGCAGCCCCTCAGCAGATTGGTGATCTCTTATTGCTCAGAGACAGCAGTGGCAGTGAAGGAAACAAAGAGTTGTGTTACCTGTCTAGGGCCAAGGAGTACTTCTTGGTGTCCCTCTCGACAAGACAAGCTCTTTCAAGACCCTTTTTGGTAGCCATAAGGAAAGTCGACAGGGTTTTGCTTGTTTTTTTTTCCCCCTTAAACTCTCTTTTCTCTGTTGGAAGCAGATATGGGCAGAAATGTCCTCTTGACTTATGCAGAAGTCTCTGCCAAGTATTTTTAAATGAAAATGTTTTAATAATCTCCTCAATAAACCCACCGCGAGAGAAAGCTGCTTTCCTAGTCCCAATGGCGTCACTGCCATAACAACCAGTAACTTGCTGAGCACAGCAGATTGGATGTTTCAGGCCTCCCTCCTTGTTTTTCTTTTTTTCCCCTCCCTGTTTGATGCTGGATATGCTTTTTGGCCACGCAGTGAGTGCGTGCTCTCCCAGTTGTGGGCCAGGGGTCAAGCACAGCGTGTGCACATCAAAGTCCACACACGCACTCATATGGACACACTGAAAGGGAGAAGGAAGGTGATTAAAACAGCCTGATTTGCCTGGAAACAGTCAAACCCCTGTTTGCCTTTCTGCTTCCTTGGCTTGTGAGGAAAGCAAACCTCCCTCACTCCATTTTTGTGCAAGCTCTTTAATGTAAGAGATTGCTCTGAAATCTGATTTCTACCCCTATCATATTTGCTCCTAATGGTTCAAAACAGAAGAGACTGCTCATTACTGCCATTTGCAACACAGGTTATTGAAATCTTTATTTCAGCAGGAAGGACTGCAGGTTGTTATTTCTGCTTTATTCAGTTTGTTAGTTCTATCAACAGTCACAGTTCCTGGAGGGCAGAAGACCTCCAGCCTCACCTATCTCACAACCTGACCTCAGACATTCACGTCACCACTAAAGGGAAATTTTGCACTGGTGCTATCTGTGTTTCACTATATTCTTGGCAGAAACAGATTGTGATTGAGATCCCTACCTGTGCACAGTCTTTTCAGGAGAGATTAGCACTGGGCAGTGAGTAAATGCTCAAGGCTGCACTTAAATTCTGCAGTCTTTTTTACTGTGGGTAGCCTATTATGGACATGATGAGCTCTCCTCCCTTCCCCCATTTCGCAGAACACATACTCCATCTGAGATTCATGAGGGCAGGGGGTACATTTGTACATGATATAAATTCAAAAAGTTGGGTTAATGTCATCAGAGATCCATATGTCCTGCATGTCAGCTGTGCAAACATTTCTCTGGAACCTGTGAGTCAAGTGGCTGACTGTATCTCAGGTGCTTTTATGAACAGCCACAGCAGAAATACATGTGTTTTTTTTTCCACAGTGTGCTGTCACCTTTGCCTCTCTAATGTTCTTTTCTTGAGAGCCTTTTCCCAGTTGCTTATACTCACCTATGCACCCTCATTAGTCCCTTTGGTGGAAGAGATCGATTTTATGACTCATGCCTGGAACTTCCTATCTCCTTCTGAACATTAAAAGGTTGGTCTTTAATGTTTTTTTAAAATTGCTGCCACTTACTGGACCTGACAATGCGGAATGCAGGCAAGGCTGGTTTGAGAAGAAACTGGTATGCAAGGGTGAATAGTATGGACCCAGGGCATTTGCAGAAATCTTACAAAACAGAAGTACCACACTTCTTACCACCCCAGAAAGGCCTTTAAGTAGCAATTTTATTCTACTGCCAAGAGGGAGTAAAGGAGGAAAAACAAGATGGTCTTTCCAGCTGTGCACCCTGGAACCTGACAAAGGCTTATAATTCATGCCCTGCAAGGGCTTCTGCTGGCTCCTCTTCCCATAAATGTCAGCCTTATTACAGTGTTTCTCTGAGCTTCTGAACTCATCTTTCCTTTAGAAATTACCAAACAACCAAATCCTGTCACAGACTGGAGATGCCTGAAAAATAAACCTGGCCTAAGACCTGATTTACAGTGGATCTCAGCCTTTCCAAAATGCTAAGCTGAAGTATCAGGTCTAAGTACCCTCAATTTAAGGGAAATTTAAAATCCACTTCAGAAGATTACAGATAAAGCCATTTTCTGTTTCAAGCCACTGTAACCATGTAACTTTTGTTAGTGAGATAGATGAGTTTCCGTCATTTTGCAAAAGGGTCTTGAGCCTCAGGTGCATACCAGCAAAACAAAGCCATAGATCATTCACAGCATTTAATCTAGACTTCTGTTTCGTGTTCATTATTGTCAATGCTGGTGGTTGTGCTTCTCAGGAGACAGGCTGTGAGGCAGGATAGAAAGAAATCTCTTCAGAGCTTTCCACAAAGACTTGGGTTTCCTCTTTATACAGTCTCTGAAACTCATTAAGAGAGAGACAGCAGCTGTCTGTGGACTTTCTGTTTCAGAAAAAATATTCAGACCATCTCAATAAATTCATCTTAGCCTTTCAATAATAAAGCAGTTTGTTTCTGAGTGTACATTAAAAATGTCACATATCCAATCATACCAGTTCTAATGACCCTAGTCAAGGACATTTCTCAAGATTTACATCCAATACAGGCATGTGAGGCATCACACTGGCTTTTGCAAATGAAAGCTTCTCATCATTATTATCCGAAATCTCCATTAATAAAAAAAAAGCATAACCTTCATCCCATTTTAACTTTAATCAGCCAGACTTTAAATATGGGAAAAGAAAAAAACATCCCCTCTATCTTGTCATTATGGGAGTAGATACTGACAGCTTAAATGTACAGAGGAAAAGTCGGTGCATCTATTAATTGGAAATGCCAGTGAAGTCAATCATTTTTATGAGCCATAAGACAACTTAGAGATCATCTGCAAAGTTCCTCTCTACCTTTCTCTGGCATCAGTTCTAGCAGCTCTATACTGTACTGCTTGTAACCCAGGGATCCAGGCACTTGTGATTTCTGGGGCTTGGTTGTTACAGTTTTTACATTCATAGTGAGAATACACATTTTCACCCAGTGAAGATCCAGTGCCTTCCAGCCATCTGTCATTTTGTGATCCAAGGCTGGAGGCAAGACAAATTGAAAGAAAAACCACTTTCCTACTCTTGTGAACCAATGAATGCAGTAACCTTTATAAGTGAGTGTCAAAAGGAAAAAATCTACCTCGATTTAAATCCAATTTAAAAATCATTAAAAACATGTTAATGTTAAATATTTTAAAATAATAAATTTTTAAACTTCAATATATTTATCTTGGGTTTGCTGCCAATATTTCAAAAGAATGGAAACTTTTGATAGTAACTGAACTGAGAGGTAGAAATCATCTGCAATGCTTTAGATGGGATTTTAAATTGCACAAAGTCATTGGGGAGAAAAAGACTTTTCAGCCACTTGTCAAAGAATTTCAAGTTTGCATTGGGAGTGGGGATCTAGCAGGAGCACAGTGTGGTACTATTTTGTGCGGTACTATTTTGTGGTGTACACCTCTACCTCCAACAGTAAAAGTCTATGCTGCTACCAGATGAAGTGGGAATCCTTCTACAGAGCCTGGAACTTCAGATCAGGAGTATCAGACACCTACTCCCCACACAGGAAAGTGTCCAAGCTCAGAGCTTCTCCTGGTGAAACCAATGGAATGAGACAGCTCCTCCCTAGACAGGCATCTCTGGAGGAACTCAAGACCCTGCTATGAATAATGAGAGAGCCCAGGGTGCCCAGGCTGGGTAGGGAGCACAGTGGTAAGCAAATACAAGAGAGGATATGGATGAATCTAGACCCCAGAGAGGGAACCCTGAAAGACACCACAGGCTTGAGGCTTGCATAGCCACAAACTTCCTATGGTTTGTGCCAGGCCTCTTGAAGGTTTTCTTTCCAAGCTGTGATATGAATATGGGTGTTTTCTCCATGGTATCAGGGAAAAAAGAAAAGGTTAGGCTTAGCATTTTTGTCCTCTTCATCTTATTTATTTAAACTTTTACTTTGATCTCATTTTGTTGGCGCCAACATTTCAGAAGTGCTCTGAATTACCTTCCCAGTGTTTCATCTCTCATGGTTGAACCCACATTGTACAAATAACCCAGCTCTCATTAAGTTCCTTGGAGATATCAGACCTTCAGAAGTAAGTAGTGCCAAGAAATGTTAATTTGATACAAAGCTGCTTTGCTTTTCTGAGAGTTTGGTAAGCTACTTTGGTGTCTGAGTGTCCCAAAAGTCCTGTTCAGGAGTAGCACAGTCTACCCTTAGAAGTTTTTCATTCTAGGCTGTAGCTTAAAAGAAAAAGACAGTGCAGAAAAATAAATGCTAATATAATCTCAAATGTTATTGTCAAAGAGTGTGTCAGCTTTTGTTACAAAAATATATTATCTTTCTCTGAGCACTTTGTGGTTTTCTGTCTCTTTTCCACTGCAATTGCAAAGGGCTTCTGCTTGGTTTTGTTTTTATGATGTCTGAAGTTGGTTGGGGAATTAAGCCTATAATTGCATTGCTAACAAGTATTTCTTAGACACATTTATTTTTCCTTAGGGAAAGAGACTGTTAGGAAAAGAGTGCACATATTTTGGCTGCAAAAGAGACAGCTATGACATTTGGCTCCTAAGTTACTACCTGGATATCATTTTAATTGTTTGGGTGGGTTTTTTTATATAGTAACTTTACTGCATTAGTTCCTTTATTACACTTTCAACATATATTTTGTTGTCATGCTCTTCCTAAGTATATTTGGGTCATGAAGATGCATTACAATATATATTGAGAGCCAGTTTGTTAAAGACACAAGGAGTTCTGCATTATTTCTCACCGGTGCAAAACTAATTGTTTTTTCTCAGCTACTGCATATATATTTATTTTCCATTTTATCATCTCTACAATTGCAGTTTGAATTAGGAAAAGGACAGAGTGACCTGGTAAAAGCATTTGCAGGGACAATCTGTATAAAGGCTTCCCAGCAACCAGGATTTCTCAAGCCTGTTGAACTGCAAGGGGAGTTGAAATAGTCCTCACGTCCTTCTTGCCTGGGCCATGCAGGCACTGGCCATTGCTCAAGCCCTTTTTCTTTCCTGCATGACTTCCAAAATTTTCTTTGCAATAATGTGCAATATTGCTGAAAGGAAGGAAACCAGGGCTCATAATTCAAATGCTGAAGAATCATGAAACTTTCAAGAAGTGAGCTGTTTGGGTTTTTTTGCTTATTCCCTCTCTAGTTTCTGAGGATGTACAGGGCACTCAGGTGTGGGGGCTGGGTGCACCCCAACTGCAGGGTGAAGGTTCCTCAACCACACTTGTGTCATTCCACAGGGATGGTATGCCTGAAACATTCTGGTGAAATGTAGAACGTCTCCTGGAAATTGCTACCTGGGTAAGATTTTCTTTGCAGCCACATATTTTCTCTCTCTTTCTGCTAAAGTAAAAAAACTTAGAAGTCCAGCGTAAGTCCAGGACTGGGACTTCAAAGACTGCCACTCTTACACTGCATTATGGCACCCAGTGATGCACCCATGATGTAAGGGATCCAAATGGGACACACTAGATGTGTTTCAAGGCAGAAAACACCAGGGGATCCTGGATCCAGCATTTCAGAGGTGTAGCACGTATGTGATCCCCAGGCAGTGCCCACCTAGACTCCCAGACTGGCTGAAATACATTGACTTGCAGCCTGAGGTTCAACCTGTGGAAATAGTTGAAACACTTCTAGTTCAGGGAAGCAAATCACACTGGATAAGCTATAATTTTAATGGCATTTTCCACACTTGCATACCTTTGAGCTGCCTGTTTCCTCCTCAGATTCTCTGGATACCTTTTATGTGGTGTATATGAAGCATCTGGATATTAAATGAAGAGTTAAATAATGGATCTCCTGTGTATGGAGCACAGTAAAAATTACACAGTGAGTTTTTATAACTTTTTTAATATAATAAAGTTAAAGAGACTGAATGCTGGTTTTATGATATGAGATTTCCAGAATGCTCCCAAGTCAGCAACAAGCTATTCATAATCTTTTATTATAGCATTGTCATGATGACTGTAATCAAGTCCCTGAGCTACCTGATGATACCAGGGATAGCATCAAGCTGGTAAATAAGAATAAGTTTGCATTTAATATGACATTTAAAGACTCTGGTTCTTGCTTTTTTTTCTTTTTTTTTTCTTTTTCTTTTTTTTTCAAATATTAAAAGCCTGTTGATAAATTTGGATCTAGTTTTCTCTTTTAAAAATGTTTGGGTTTTGTAGTTATCTGTAGGATACCAACATATAAGCCGATTTGGTAAAATACAAGTTAGTGTTCCTACTACAAAAAAAATTCTTCACCATCCTCCTTCCACACTCCCCCCCTGTTTGGGGTTTTCAAACACCAATAAAAATTTGATCTAAGCAAAATCTGTCAGTAAGTAAGTAAGACCATGCTGATTATTACAAAGGTTGGTTGCACTCATCTGCTAGGTTTTTTCCTGCATATCAGTACTAGTACATTGCAGTGTCAATTCCTGCAGAGCATCTGAGCTAACCTCATAGCAAGGGCTGGATCAGAGGGTTTGCTTTGATGCCCTGTTCCGTGTGTTCCTAACATTTTGAGGTGCCATCCGTAAAAACAGGCCTACTGTTGAGGTTTGTGCACATCAATAAATTAAGTAATTGCTCCAGTCAGCTGTGTGGTAGTGCTATGCAGACAGTGGTGTATCACAGGCATAAGATTTGCATTTGGAAAGTGTAAGTCTTATCCACTTGCTAGCACCCAAATCAGAACAGCTCTTCCCCCTTTTTAGGCTCATGTCTGGGCCACCCATTCCTGTAGAGCTTACACAGACTCTTCTTAAAACCTCTAATGATGGATAGTCCTCATGCAGTCTATTTCTGTGCTTAATTACCTTTGCTATGAGAAAGCTTTTCCAAATGTCTAACTTAAACCTCACTGTAATTTAAGCCATTATTTCATGATGGAGAATTAATTCCTTCCCTCTCTACAGCTACCTTTTATGTGTTAGAAGTGGCAGTCGTGCCTCTCTGTTCTTTTCCTTTAGCAAACAGCTCCAGTTCCTTCAGGTTGTTGTTTTGGACCGTTCTCTCCTGGACACACCAGCGGCTGCATCACTTCTGAGCGGCAACAGCCGGGCACACCCTCCAGCTGGGGCCGTGCCAGCCCTGAAAGAAGAAACATTTCCACTAAGTGCCACAAAGACAAAATCCTGCTTATAAATCTCATGGCAATAGATACTTCTCTGGAAACACTGTAATGTTACTGACTTTGGTTCATCTTGTGATTTACTAAGTGGCCTCTCCCCCCAGCCAGGTCTTCTGATGTTATACTAATGCTTAGCCCACTTTGGCTACTGTATATTTGAGTAGACAATTACCACTACCTGATAAATACCTTTCACTTGGTCTGATTGACTTGCATCCTCTTTTTTTTTGTTTGTTTTAATAATTTATTCAATTTGTCAAAAGTATTCTGAATACCAACCCTATTTTTAAGTCCTTCAGGTAACCCTTTCCAGACTGAGGTCATCTGAAAAATTAATAACCATATCCTCTATGCCTCTGATCATAGCAATAATGAAAACACTGAATAATGCCGGAGAAGGACAAACCACAATGAAACCTTCATTGAATTAAAGTGCATTAGAGTAACCTATTTTCAATTGATCTAGCATGGAACTCACAGGTGTGGATGCCTACCTGTGATTGCCATGGTGATGGTGTATTATACAGCTGCAAGTCCAACAGAAGCAATGATAGCACAGTGAAAAACTTTGGAAGTTATCCTTATTTTCTAACAGCAGTATAAATCCTTTCTGGAACCATGCTTTGACCAGGGTAACAGATGGTGTCCTGGAAAGAGGCCTCAGGAATTTCTTTCACACCTGTGCCCAAGAACATGCGGAAATGTTGGCCTGTGCCTGTTATTTTTCTGAAACTTTGCCGTTCACATTTACAACATGGAAAGACTCAGTTCAAGGCATTGGGAGTTGATTAATTGTGGGGATTTGATGGCTGCAGCTTCACACCAGTATCCTGGGGTGGCGAGCACATGTTCCTGCTTGCGTGGCTCTGCATGGTCCCCATTTCCTTCTGCCTTGAAAACTCACAGGATCCTTCCCCTTTTCTACAAAGCCTGCAAAGAGGTTTATTTGTTTCAAAATAATTGTACATTAAACTGAGATTAAAAGTCCTCCATTTATTTTTGCATATAAATTAGGCAAAATTAAGGAAAAATATCTCCTATGCATTCAAGAAATTTTTCTGTTGAAAGAAGTAAAAGAAAAAAAAAAAAGAAAAATTTCTGTAAAACCCACATCTGTTTTGGTTGCAAGGTAATTTTTCTTTGTAAAATAATGTTTCAGAAAAAAAATTCAAGTGGTTCTATTCAATGTCATTTCATCTGCCTCTGAAGTCCCTGTAATGACCTTTGCTGTGGCAGTTTTTGATCAGCAAACAGCACATAATGGTTTAATAAATGAGTTGTAGCAGTATCAAAACCAAGGAGCAATCATCTTAGGAAGACATCAGTCAAAAGGAGCGAGTTCAGCTGAGGGCCACAGAGATGCTCAGGGCAGGAGCACTTGCCCTGTGAGGACAAGCTGAGGGAGCAGGGGATGGTTCATCCTGGAGAAGACAGCTTGGGACCATCTAAAAGCAGCCCCCAATGCCCATAAGTTGGTCATCAAGGAGATGGAGCCAGGCCCTTCACAGCTGTGCCTGGTGGGAGGATGAGAGACAATAGGCATCAACTGAAAAAAAAAGAGAGAGAAATTCAGGCTGGATATAAGCAGGAGGGTGGGACCTCCTGAGTTCCCTTCCAGCATGAATTTTCCATGATCCTGTGATTTGTACACTGACAAGGACACAGCTGTGATTTTAATTTCCACTTTGAATCTCCTCATGCATTTAGCTCTGAATTGCACATGTAGTGAAATATGTTATTTAGTGTTTTTCATGGTGTAAATAATCTGAACAGCACCTATGACACCCAGTGAAGAGACCCTGGTTGTAATGTAAAAGTAAACAACCTGTTTTAAGAGAGAGAAATATGTCATGCAGTCTGAGGAAACATCTGCAATTAAAATAATTGCTGCTCTGGAAAATGGCACTTATTCAGGAAGAGCCATTGGTAGGTAGAAACAGTTGTAATACATCATTTTCCTAGCACCCAATCTACAGCAGTTTTACACCACAGATTTGCAGTTTAAAACTTTTGAGTGCAGTGAAAGATGATTTATCTGATCTATATGGTACAGTCCAAATGTTCTGTGATAAAAATGAGCTATTGATCTGAGGAGATTCTAATTTAGATCTGCTCACTTAAAAAGAGTAATAAACTGAAACAGTCTGGGAAGCTTATGTTTCAAATGACTTATCAAGGAGTTAAAAAATTTAGTAACCTGAGCCAGCAATAACTTTAACAGTAGCCAGAGCCCTAGATTTTACTGAGCCAAATTTTCCTGAACTATTCACAGAAGTATGTGGATAATAGTCCTTTCTGTTACACTGATGTCCAGAGAGATGCTCATTTGCACTAGATCTTATGAAAAGAAATGAAAAGGAAAAGACATTCTAGAGAGTTCAAAACATAACCTTAGCAGTGATAGTGAGTAATAGCTTTTTGGTCATAAAGTGTTGTAGGTAAAGTATGAAGAGGTCAGTCCTATTTTCCCATATATTTTCCATTGCTGAAACTTGAGATTTTGCCAAGGATTTGGTGACATTTCTAGAAAAAGCTTGATTAATGTTTTATTGCTGAAAATCTAAGTGGGTACTTTGGCCATCCAGTTTTTCATAACCACACTTTGATTTTTACTGCCTAGCCTACATAGCTCTGTTTTTTTATGAAGTTTATGAAATGAGTATGACTTTAGTGGGTTTAAACACTGCAGAGGTGAATGTACAAACTGCTGTAAGATTGCACTCAATTTCCAGTAACCCAACAGGCTGTACTCTACATGGTTAGGTGTACTGTGTGATATTCCCATTAATGATCTGGATAACAGAAAAGCGTGGATGTCCTCAAATGTGAAAATAATGAGCAAAGGGGGACTGAAAGCACTTGAGAGGGTTAGAATTTAAAACAATACATTGGAGAAATGATCTGAAGTCAGGAAGATGAAGCAAGGCACAGATAAGAGCAAAAAGTGCTACACTTAGAAAGTAGAACAAAATGAAAAAGTAAAAATAACTGGGCAGCAGCAGCACAGCAGAAAAGATTGTTGCAGAGAAGTGTAATCTAAGCATAACTGATGTCACGCTGTTGCCAGAAAGGCAGCTTCTATCCTGGAAAATGGACAGTAGTGCTCCTCTCACCAGCACTTTTAAAGCTTGACAAGGAGCACCATGTCCTTGTTTAGATGTTACATATCCACAGAGATAAAGACCCTCTGTTTGATGTTAAGAAAAGTGGCACTTTGAAAATGTTTTCTGTAGGGCATGACTGAAATACAAAAGGTTTCACTTAGCTTCACAGGCTGGTAGGAAAGCAGAAGAAAGGTGATACTGCAGTGGTTGTGCAGAAGACAAGAAGGACAAGCAGCAGATTAGGATAATTTGCAGCAAAAGAGAAAGCTGGACAAGAAACTGCCTGGTTAGAATAGTTAAACAAAAGGCACAAACACTCCATCACCCAAGGTTTTGAGAAATGTTTAAAACATATGAATTGCTCCTTCAAAATGCATTTTATAAGGGGAGCCAGGAGTTCCTAGCTCTTAAGTAGACTCTTATTAGTAAGTAAGAGGAGTCCCAAGCAAGATGGCAGATAAGATTGCAAGAGATCTTACTCCAAGTTACAATGATAGACTCCTGAGATATGTAGGATCCGTGTTTAATTATCCATGATAACATTTGCTTCAATTCTCCCTGTAAGGAGACTGTCTAATCACGACATGATACCTATAAGATGGCAGAGAATATTTGTTACAGATCTTGCTTTCAGTAAAATAATAAAATGTGCATCAGCACAAGACCAGTAGTCCAAAACAGGAGTTTCAGCAGTAAGA